GCATGTCATCTTGTTTGGGCTCTTAAAATTATTGAAATATATGTCATTATTTCTTAAAACCCTTGAATATATATATATATATATATATATATTATATATATATATATATATATATATATATATATATATATATATATATATATATATATATATATATATATATATATATATATATATATATATATATATATATAAATCGCCTTGTCTGACTTCTGAACTCTTGAAATATATCACTCTTGGGCCCTGAACTCAAAACATACATCATTCTATTTGGACGGCTGAAGTCTGGAAACACCACTTGTCTTTAACTCAGTCATACATCACTTGTGTTTGTATTCTGAAAAGTCTATATTATCTTGGTCTTCTTGGGACGAACTTGAGGAATATATATCGGGCCTTATAACTGTGTAGGAGCTACTGTACTGCCGGTGTGTAAGTCTGTCGTGTTGTTTTTGGTAATTTGATTTAGAACTTATAATCCAGGAAGTTAAAGAGTTTGCACTGGTAATCTGCGGGAGATGGTTCGTCGAGCACCCATCAAGTGAGTTTGTCTTGAGGTGAGGTGGACGGGTTTAACATCAGGCTCCAGAACTCTCAGAAACCAAGAGAATTTCCCCAGTTGTTACGAGTCCAAAGTCCCAGGCTGATGGAAATGATTTTACTCGCGAGTATTGGGGAAACAGACCAGGACATGCCTCCTCGTCGCTCTGGGAAATAAGTCCGATGGAGGAACTTTGAATCAGACAAGGACACAACAGGCGGAGGAGCTGTACGGTACACAAGATTCTGATGGAGGTTTGAAGTATCCAAGGAGTGGGGTGGTGTTTAGATAGTGTTGTTTTTATGAGGGAACGAGTTAGACTTTTTGTATATAAATATATTAGAGATTCACTTCATTCAGATGAGAGTAAGAGGAGCTTCTGACCGTGTTTGGAATAAGAAAAATAAATAAAAAGCACATATGTGAATTAATGGAAGATAATTGAGAAATATTACTATTCTGAGAGATTATTCCACCATTTGACACTTGATTGTGATTTATCTTGGTCAGAATAACGTCACAGGTTACCCTATCCTCGACTGGGTAATGACTGTTAATATTGACCTGTTGACCTCCCATATTTCACACAGGTTAGGCGGACGACATTTGATTTCTGTGTTTACGTTTGAGTTGTAAATCTGGAGGTATTTTAGCTGTCATCAATTTCACTAGAGGTTTGTCAATACCGCAGACGTAACTCGAGCTTCATGTTAAGATATATATACAGATACAAGGAATCATGCATTCCATTGTATACGTTTGTTTATACTGATCCTAAATAATGTGAGGATGTTGTCTCAGTTGCTCGTCACAAGTCACTCACTAACTGGTTCTGAATTTACTGAATAATACAACTATCGAGAAGTGTGTTGTGTGTGTGTGTGTGTGTGTGTGTGTGTGTGTGTGTGTGTGTGTGTGTGTGTGTGTGTGTGTGTGTGTGTGTGTGTGTCACGGTTTTATTTATCCACGTCAGTCAGTAACTCACACCAGGGCCATCGATAAATCCATAAAATTTCTAAAATCAATAGATATTTCTTTATGTTGTTGTCGTCTGTTCTTCATCTGTTAGTCGCCTGTGGTTCACTTTTTGTTCATCTGTTAGTCGCCTGTGGTTCACTTTTGTTCATCTCTTGTTTTTTCATTGGTTTATCTCTGTTTTGGTACTGGCTCCATTTCGGTCTCGGTCTTCCTTCTGTTACCGACCTCGTTACTGGCCTCCATTTCGGTCTCGACCCCCTCGTAACTGGTCTCCAAACGGTCTCGGCTTGTTGGTCTTTGGAATAAATGACCGCAAAGACAAGAACACTGACCAATAACTTCGCCGCTGTGGTCACCATACACTGCTTCACTGCCCGCCTTCCTCACCATACACCAGTACCATACAGTCACCGCCTGCCTGTACCTCACCATACACCAGTCACCATACACGCTTCACTGCCCGCCTGTACCCTCACCATACCCAGTCACCATACACTGCTTCACTTCCCGCCTGTACCCCACCATACACCAGTCACCATACACTGCTTCACTGCCCGCCTGTACCTCACCATACACCAGTCACCATACACTGCTTCACTGCCTGCCTGTACCTCACCATACACCAGTCACCACATACACTGTTTACCTCCCGCCTGTACCTCACCATACACCAGTCACCATACACTGCTTCACTGCCCGCCTGTACCTCACCATACACCAGTCACCATACACTGCTTCACTTCCCGCCTGTACCACCATACACCAGTCACCATACACCGCTTCACTTCCTGCCTGTACCCCACCATACCAGTCACCATACACTGCTTCACCGTCTGCCTGTACCTCACAACCAGACTACTGCTACTGCCCGCCTGTGCCTCACTATACACCAGTCACCATACACTGCTTCACTTCCCGCCTGTACCTCACCAGTCACCATACACTGCTTCACGCCCGCCTGTACTCTACCATACACCAGTCACCATACACTGCTTCACTTCTGTGCCCCTCACCATACACCAGTCACCATACACTGCTTCACTGCCCGCCTGTACCTCACCAGTCACCATACACTGCTTCACTTCCCGCCTGTACCACTATACACCAGTCACCATACACTGCTTCACTTCCCGCCTGTACCTCACCATACACCAGTCACCATACACTGCCACTCTGCCTGTCACTGCCTCTCCTGTACCTCACCATACACCCAGTCACCATATACAAATCACCACATACACTCACCATTATACAAGCACCATACACAAGTCACCATACACTGCCTCACTGCCTACTGCCCATGTGCACCTCACCATACACTAGTCACCATACACAAGTCACCATACACAAGTCACCATCCACTAGTCACCAAACACAAGTCACCATACACTAATCACTATACACAGTCACTATACACTGCTCACTGCTCACGTGCACCAACATACACAAGTCACCATACAAGGACCTCCTGACTAGTGTGTGGTGTTAAGAGTAACTGGTGTTTGTTTTGAACATAAATGAGAGAGGCGCTTTTAATGGTGTGTGTGTGTGTGTGTGTGTGTGTGTGTGTGTGTGTGTGTGTGTGTACAATAATAATAATAATTAACGGTTTATTAAAAAGTTCTGCAGCCCGAAGACTGAAAATATACATTGACATAAATGACTTATTACATATATTGGTGGTTTAACAAAAGTTTCTATTAGAGAAAGGTAAAGGAACATACAGTGAGCATACAGATTAATATAGGTGTTGAACAGCAAACATGTAGTGTAGTAACTCTCTCCCAGATGGTGTTAGGAGGGACCTCACATGGTGTAGTAGTTCCCTCACAGATGGTGTTATGAGGACCTGGCGTGGTGTAGTAATCCTCACAGATGGTGTTATGAGGAACCTGACGTGGTGTAGTAATTTCACAGATGGTGTTATGAGGGGCCTCACGTGGTGTAGTAGTTCCCTCACAGATGGTGTTATGAGGAACCTGACGTGGTGTAGTAATCCTCACAGATGGTGTTATGAGGGCCTCACGTGGTGTAGTAATTCCTCAGATGGTGTTATGAGGCCTCACTGGTGTAGTAATTCCCTCCCAGATGGTGTTATGAAGGACCTGACGTGGTGTAGTAACTCCCTCCCAGATGGTGTTATGAAGGACCTGACTTGGTGTAAACCTCACAGATGGTGTTATGAGGGACCTCACGTGGTGTAGTAATTCTCCCAGATGGTGCGTATGACTTGACGTGGTGTAATAATTTCACAGATGGTGTTATGAGGGCCTCACGTGGTGGTAATTCACAGATGGTGTTATGAGGGCCTCACGGTGTAGTAACTCCCCACAGATGGTGTTATGAGGACCTGACGTGGTATAGTAATTCCTCACAGATGGTGTTATATGAGTGAGGTGGTCCCAGTCCTTCCTATCGTAGACGGATTAACACATCGCTGGTTGTTGTTGGGTCTCACGGGCCGTTATCACTGGTACCTGGGACCTCACTGTGTGAAGGTTAACTTGGGTACGACTGTTACTGTTGAGTTGTTCTCACTGACTGTTCACCTCTGTTTAACACTGGTTCCATTCCTTTCCGAAATGAAATTGTAACTTCTGGCGAGAACTTGTTGATATTCCGGTGGGGAGGAGGGTTCAGGTCAAGGATGTGTGTGTTGTTCTTCCTTCTTCTTCCCTTCTTGGAAGGAATGGAAGAGGTGAATAGAGCAAGTTGAAGGGAATGGAAGGTGAATATAGCAAGTTGAAGGGAATGGAAGGTGGATAGAGCAAGTTGAAGGGAATGGAAGGTGAATAGATCAGTTAAAGGAATGGAAGGGGTGAATAGAGCAAGTTGAAGGAAATGGAAGGGGTGAATAGAAAGTTGAAGGAAATGGAAGGGGTGAATAGAGCAAGAAGGAAATGGAAGGGCTTAAGATAGATTGCAGGAAATAGAGTCCGTCCAGAACCATTATTTCATGACCATCCTAACCAGAGCCACCTGTTAGGTAACTTATCCACACCCACCCGTCTAAATCCAACTGCAGAGCCACCTGTCTAAATCACCATACACAGCCACCCCAATCCACACCCATCCATTCCTTATCTACATCCCACCCACCCTAAGCCCCCTGATCCAGAAGTGCCTACCCACGCCCCAGTGCTTCATGGAGCGTCAGGAGCGTCAGGAGTGTCAGGAGCGTCAGGAGGAGGAGCAGTGAACATCCTGGTGCTGTTGGTCACATTAGTAGGTGTGTGTGTGTGTGTGTGTGTGTGTGTGTGTTGGCAGGGTTATGGGCGTGAACACACACACACACACACACACACACAGAGGCTAACAGGTTGATTGATCTGTTTTGTCGAGATAATTAGAGGTGTCGAGGTAGGGTATCGATTAATGGGGTCGTGGTGGCCAAGGCGTGAGGACTTGATGTCGTGGTGGCCTAGGGCGTGAGGACTTGGTGTCGTGGTGGTCAGGGCGTGAGGACTTGGTGTCGTGGTGATCAGGATTGAGAACTGTGTCGGTGGTCAGGCGTGAGGATTTGTGTCGTGGTGATCAGGGGATTGAGGACTTGGTGTCGTGGAGGTCCGGAGGACTGTGTCGGGTGGTCAGGGCGTAAGGACTTGGTGTCGTGGTGGCTATGGCGTGAGGACTTGGTGTCGTGGTGGTCAGGCGGATTTGGTGTCGTGGTGGACCCATGACTTGGTGTTGTGGTGATCAGGGATTGAGGACTTGGTGTCGTGGTGGTCAGGGCGTGAGGATTTGGTGTCGTGGTGATCAGGGATTGAGGACTTGGTGTCGTGGAGGTCAGGCGTGAGGACTTGGTGTCGTGGTGATCAGGATTGAGGACTTGGTGTCGTGGGAGGTCAGGGCGTGAGGACTTGTGTTGTGGGATCAGGAATTGAGGTCTGGCATCAGGGATTGAGGGCTTGGTGTCGTGGAGCAGGGAGGACTTGGTGTCGGCAACTCAGGCGTGAGGTCTTGGTATCGTGGTGGCAGGGCGTGAGGACTTGGTGTCGTGGTGGCTAAGGCGTGAGGACTGGTGTCGTGGTGGCCAAGGCGTGAGGACTTGGTGTCGTGGTGGTCAGCATGAATGGTGTCGTGGTACTGGGATTGAGGACTTGGTGTCGTGGAGGTCAGGGCGTGAGGACTTGGTGTCGTGGTGGTCTGTGGGGCGTGACTGGTGTCGTGGTGTCGTGAACTGTCGGGTGGCCAAGGCTTATTTGGTGTCGGTGGCCAAGGCGTGAGGACTTGGTGTCGTGGTGGCGGGCGTGAGGACTTGGTGTCGTGGGTGGCCAAGGCGTTAGGACTTGGTGTCGGTGGCTAAGGCGTGAGGACTTGTGTCGTGGGTGGCTGTGCGGGGCGTGGGGAAGGTCAAGGACTTGGTGTCGTGGTGGTCAGGGCGTGAGGACTTGGTGTCGGGTGGTCAGGGCGTGAGGACTTGGTGTCGTGGTGGCCAAGGCGTGAGGACTTGGTGCGGTAATGCTGGGCGAGACTTGGTGTCGTGGTGGTCAGGGTGTAGGACTTGGTGTCGTGGTGGCCAGGGCGTGAGGACTTGGTGTCGTGGAGGTCAGCGTGAGGACTTGGTGTCGTGGAGGTCAGGTGAGGACTTGGTGTCGTGGTGGCCGGGGCGTGAGACTTGTGTCGGGTGGTAGGGCTAAGGACTTGGTGTCGTGGAGGTCAGGGCGTGAGGACTTGGTGTCATGGTGGCCAGGGCGGAAGACTTGTGTCGTGGTGGCTAGGGCGTGACGACTTGGTGTCGTAGTGGCCAGGCGGAGGACTTGTGTCGTGGTGGCCAGGGGCGTGAGGACTTGGTGTTGTGGTGGCCAGGGCGTGAGGATTTGGTGTCGTGGTGGTCAGGGCGTGAGGACTTGGTGTCGTGGTGGCCAGGGCGTGAGGACTTGGTGTCGTGGGGGTCAGGGCGTGAGGACTTGGTGTCATGGAAGGCAAGGAAGGTCTCTAGATTTAGATGTTACAACGGAGGAAGACGAGGAGGAGGAGGATTAATTGGAAAAAGGTCTTCTTCCCCTTCCTCCTCTTCCTCTTCCCCTCTTCCTCTTTTCTTCCTCTTCCTCTTCCCTATGCATTTTCATCTATTTTGTATCCATCTGCAGTGGAGTCTATTTTGGTGTGGCGTCTGTCTGTCTTCTCTCTTGTTATGTCTGTCTGTATGTCTTTCAGTTCGTCTGTCTCGCTGGCTGTCTGCCTGTCCGTCTGTCTTTAACTTTGGTTAATTGATTACATTAACCCGGGTTGTGGGAGAGAGGGGACAATTTTCTTCGTTCCTGGTGGTTTTATTCACCTTCGACAGTGAACCATCGGATCATTTAATCTTGGACCAATGAATCTCGAATCTTTGAAACTTCGAACCAATGAACCTTAGAATCATAAAAATATTTGAACCATTCAACCTTCAAAACATTAAATCCCGAACCAATAAACCTTTGACTCATGAAATCTCTGAACCAATGAATCTTCGAACCAGTGAACCCTAGAAAAATTGGAATCGATCCCATTAGACTAAACGTTGTCGCCCGTACCATTAGTTTTATAATTTAATTTTACTTTTACCCAAATCGTACTCTCTCTCTCTCTCTCTCTCTCTCTCTCTCTCTCTCTCTCTGGCTATAATTTGTGGACATCCAGTGGACATCCAGTGTTGTTTGATAGGTTGTGAACGAGTTGTGGATATGGGTTTTAGACGGATTGTGGATGGTTTTTGAACAGATTGTAGGTGGGTTGTGTATGTGTTGTAGACGGGTTGTGGACAGGGTTATGAATGGGATGTTGTCGTTGGGATCAGGTTATGAACGTGTTACAAACGTGTAACTGCTAGTGTCTCCCATGTCCCATTATCATAACCCCTCTCATGACCTATTATGACCCCTACCATGACCTAACTACCATAAACCTAACTAGCAGTCCTCTCTTCCATAACCTAACTACCATGACCCTCCCATAGCCTAACTACATGACCCCTCCATAACCCCACTACCATGCCCCTCCCATAACCTAACAACCATACCAAGGGCCAGACACTTGATAACAGGGCCCAGGAATGCACAAAATGCTATTGACCTCTTGTACGTATTTTCAGATGGCAATTACCGGATAAATGACTTAATGGCAGGGTAACGAGCACTTATTATTGGACTATTTGATAGGCTAATTTCAGGTCCTGTATGTTCAACTTCGGAGGACGATGACTAAGCCTAGATTAGTTCACTTGGATGAGATCAACTGAAGATTATTAGACAGCTTAGTTTATTTGTCCTGAAGATTAGACAGCTTAGTTTATTTCACTAAGATATTAGACAGCTTAGTTTTATTTAACCTGAAGATTAGACAGCTTAATTCACTTGAAGATTAGACGGCTTAATTTATTTGTCTGAAGATTAGACAGCTTAGTTTATTTCACCTGAATATTAGACGCTTAGTTATTTCACCTGAAGATTAGACAGCTTAATTCACCTGAAGATTAGACAGCTTAGTTTATTTCACCTGAAGATTAGACAGCTTAGTTTATTTCACCTGGAGATTAAACACCTAGCTTATTCCACCTGAACTTCCCAGGTAGCGTTGGGGTGTCTAATCTTCAGGTAAAAGGTGATCAATTTATCCTCCCTAAATGACTGTTTTGTGGGGATGATTTGGCAGAGTGGTGGCGGACTGGAGGTTGGCTGACCACCTGAATTAGAACAAAAAGTAATGTATCTTGGGGGCTAAGTCAGGCTTATTGGTCCGACGTATTAGGCTTTGATAGTTTGGCTTGAAATGGTGGCAGGTGGTGGCATTGTGTCTAGGGTGGTGGCAGGTGGCATTGTGTCTAGGTGGTGGCAGGCGGTGGCATTGTGTCCAGGTGTGGTGGCAGCAAGCGGCAATCCGTCCTAACCCAACCTAACCCCCACAATATCTTACCCCTCCTTTCTCCCCGCCCTTCCCTCCCCCAGGTCTAACACTAATGGCCTTCCCAATTACAATTTTATTAACTATCTGTGATGCACCAATTACGTGCCACAGTGGGAGGAGACTTCCAGCAGAAATTATGGTAGTGGTTACTGTTGGTGGTAGTTGTGTGGTAATGGCTATGCTAGAGGTGGTAGTGGTATATGTTGGTTTGTTGTTGTTTGTCTGGACTTTTGATGCTTACCTCCATCACACACACACACACACACACACACACACACAGAGTCTACATAATCCACAGACTCACATCAACATTGGCCTCCTCAGGTTATTTTCACCGTGACTGGAAACCTTATGTACTCTCACCCCACCCCCTAACACCCCCTCTCTCTCCACTAATCTCCCCACTCCACCTCTCTACCCCTCCCCCACTCCACCACCCCCTCACCACCCCTCCCCCGCTCCTCCACCCCTCTCCTGGCCCCATGACTTAACCGAGGCACGTGGACACACACCAATTGGCTTATGTATACAGGCTCAAGACTTTTTATTGGATGGCAGGCGAGAACCAACACCTCTTGTCTCCTTCAGGGGCTACCAGCTCCACTACCTCTCTCTTCAGGGGCTACCAACACCCACTACCTCTCTTGAGGGTTCTGCCCTCCACTACCTCTCCTTCAGGGCTACCAGCACCAATGGCGAGAGTGGGGAAGGAGGTGGGCAGTGTGTGTGGAGGAGAGGAGGAGGCAGTGTGTGGAGGGAGGGAGGGTAGGCAGTGTGTGGGGAGGAGAGGCAGTGTGTGGAGGAGTAGGCAGTGTGTGGAGGGAGGAGGTGGAGGCAGTGTGTGTGGAGGGGAGAAGGAGGGTGGGCAGTGTGTGTGGAGGGAGAAGGAGGGGTGGGCGGAGGTGTGTGTGGAGGAGAGGAGGGTGGGCAGTGTGTGGAGGAGAGGGTGGGGGGTGTGTGTGGAGGGGACAGGAGGGTGGGCAGGTGTGTGTGGAGGAGGTGGAGGCAGTGTGTGTGGAGGGAGGAGGGGGTGGGCAGTGTGTGTGGAGGGGAGAGAGAGGGGTGGGCAGTGTGTGTGGAGGGAGAGAGAGAGGGTGGGCAGGTGTGTGTGGAGGGGAGGAGGGTTGCCTGTAATTATAACCGGAATGCCTGACTCTAGTATAGCTTTCAACACCTGCATACAGCACATTACAAGGTAAACCGGAATGTGTTAGTGTTAGTGCCACCATGGCGAAGTTATGACAGACAGACAGAGACAGACAGACAGACAGACAGACAGACAGACAGACAGACAGACAGACAGACAGAGACAGACAGACAGACAGACAGACAGACGAGAACGATACTGACTATGGATACCTCAAATACTTCAATGTGTGTGTGTGTGTGTGTGTGTGTGTGTGTGTGTGTGTGTTATCAGCTGGGGTGTTGTTCAGTAGGACATAAACTTTCTTATGGTCGTTGATGTAAAAGAATGACGCAGTAAGTAGTGAAGATAAGAGTTCTCAAGTGTAAACTGTTCCCTTCCCTTTACTTCCCTCCTCCCTCCCTCCCTCCCTCCACTCCCTCCCTCCACTCCCTCCCTCCCTCCCTCCCCTCCCTCCCTCCCTCTCGTCTTCCGCCAGTTGTATTC